CTGCTCAACAGCATCCGCGAAATCCTCGAGAATAAATACTCGCAGAAGCCCCAGCTGTCGTGCAGCCATCCTCTCGGTGGGTCCCCCTTCTTGTGCCATGTGATATGATGCTAATCGTATTCATTCCAGACACCAACCTGCTTTTCGTTATGTGAGATTATCTCTTGGAAGTGGATGCGGGGTTGCTGTCGGGTGATCTTTTGATAGGTGCTAGGTTACGTGCGAATTATGGCTTGACAAGTTCGAAACTGACAGTTCCCTGGCTCCTTGATCTGAGACTCGTGAACTTGACGCTCAATTTACTCAGAGAGACCAGCCGGGTAGAGTTCCACAACATAAAAGTGAGGGTATTAAGGACTAAGACTATGCAGCGGATAGGGGTATAGTACGGCACGATCAAAAAAACAAACTCTACCAGAACCAAACACCGCCGCCCGTCGTCGCCAAGAGGCCGCGTCAACCACGAGGTCGGAACATGCCATCATCTCCACAATCGAGAAAAGCTCCCAAGATTGGCTGACCTTCGAAACACACTCGGAAGACCACAGCTCAACAGACGAACGACAACAAGAAAAGGTCCTCGCAAAGGTCAAGTGAAGATTGGTATGTAGCCTGGTTACTCAGTGATTACTCCCCCCCCCCGAACGACAGCGCCTGCCACATGCTCGTCTTGCTCCGCCGGCTGCTGGGCACGGCCGTGCTGCCGCTGCTCGACGAGCTCTCGAAGCTGCGCCGCTCCCGCACGTACTTGGGCCACGTGTTGGTCAGCACCAGGTACTTGATGCTGGTCTGCGCCGCGTCGAACACGGCCGCGCCGAACCCCTGCGGGATGTCGCCCTGGTATTGGGGCGGGGCCGCGGCGGGCGAGGTTAGGGGGAGGCTGTCGGTCGCCGTCGTGGCGATGCGGATGGGGATGTGGCCCCGGCGGCTGGTGGGTTTGCCGCTCGGGGTGGCGGCGGGGGTGTTGGGGGTTCGGGGGGGGGTCTGGTCGGCCTGGTCGCCGAGGATGAGGGATTCCGAGTCGCGGGAGGAGCGGCGCGGCGTGGGCGCTGCTGCGCGGGCGGCGGGGGCCGGGGGCGAGGGCTGCCAGCCGGCTTCGGCGAAGGGGGTGGCGGCGTCGAGGGACGAGGGCGCGGCCGCGGGGACGGTGGTGCGCGCGGCGCGCTCAAAGATATCCTGCAACTTGCGCAGGTCGTGCCAGGCAATGTTGATGGGGAACTCGGCGTCGTGGGGGCTGATGAACTCGGCGTAGATGCGCAGGGCGCGGGTGAATTGTGACCGGACCATGTCGGGGTTGGTGTCGTAGCGGTCGCGGACGAAGTCTTTGGGCAGGGCGGCCTTCCACTCGGCCACGGCGGTTAGGAAGGCGATGTTCTCGCCGGAGAAATCGCGGCGGGCCGAGAACTGCCGGAGAGGCTCGGGGTTCTTGTCGAGGACGTGCTCCAGTGCGGCCATGGTCAGCACGCTCTCGCCGGGGATACGGTCAAGGTTGAATTGGGTGTTGGACTCGATGTTGGGGAGCCTCTTCCACGAGTCGAAGCCGAGGGAGTCGCCGATCTTGGTCGAGCTCAGGCTCAGGGGCGTCGCGGAGCTGTCGATGGTGGCCGTCTCGGCTTTGCGGCCGCCGAACTGCTTCTTGGATTCCCAGTTGGCGATGGAGTCGAGCGTCTCTTGGTGGAGAGTCTGGTGTCTCCGGACCTGCCAGCAGGGGACAAAGACGGTGCATATCTCAAGAACAAAAATTGAAGTCGCGATCCTGCGCACATGGTCAGCTCGTGTTGCGGTAGCCAGAAGACCGGTATCGGGGTCTAACCATTGGGGGGGGACGAAGTAGGCGTTCACCGGAGCCATGCCGGGAACATAGAGCGCAATAAGCCACATCGGCGCTGCTGGGAGCCTGGTTGAATCGAGTCAGTCTCTGGCTTGGAAAGAGAGAGAGAATATGCAAACACACCCAGCAATGCAGCAGGCGATGGTCTGGTGCTGCCAGCCGTGGGTGTCGTGGATCCCCCGGGACCGCCACAGGATAATGGGCGCAACAATCCAGGCCCAGGCAAATTGCCAGACGATGGAGGGCCACCTGGGAGCGGGTCAGTATCGTCCGGAGTGTGGATGCAACGGGCAACGTACCATTCCCACCCTTTGCGCTGCTCCGTGGCAAGCTCCGTGGCCGTGTTGGCTGAGACTTCAGTGCCCGGAATGCCAAAGCCCGGGTGGAATTTGCGCGAAATCAGATAGATGATGATCACAACCAGTAGCTGTGCTATGTCAGGGTCCGGGCCTCGACCGTCACGGGGTGTCTGGGCCGCTAACCTGGATAGCCATGCCGACGGTCACAAACATGAACATGCGCTTGGAATAGTCCATCTGGCGCAGGCGCTGGAGCCAAGTCTCGCCCTGTGGGGGATGCTTCTCATCGTACCGGGTTCTCATCTGGCTCGGAGGACGGGCGAACCGGCTCTGGGCCTTGGCGACATGGAGGAACTGGCTGTTGCCGGCCTGGAAGAGGGCGATGCCCAAGGGATACCATACGCTCATGATCCAGAACTCGACCCCCGGCGGGAACAGAGGGCCGAAGGTGTAGCTGAGCTGGGCGGCGATCCAGTAGAAGTGAAGGAGAATGACGCCGGCGAAGGTTAACGAGAGTCCACGGAGTCGCAGGGTTGGCGTGTCGCGTTTCTGGTAAAGGAATGTCAGGCCGCCGGCCACCACGAGGGTCCAGACGGCACAGAAGGTGAGCCACCAGATGCCGACGCCGTCGTACCTGGCCTCGGGCTTCGTGTCGAGGGTGGTCCCAACCTCGGACCCCCCCACGGTCCCGTCGCGTGGCAAGATCATGGCTCGGGATGGGCTGGGCTGGGCTGGAGTTGACGCAAGCGAAGGTGGGCACGTGGCCGAGCGAACGAAACCCAGGGACGGAACGCGAGCGTGGCCGCGCAACGGCGGGCGGGGGCAGCCGCGCCTTTTGAATCGCGGACATGGGAGTGAGAACCAGGGCCAAGCACATCGAGGCTACCTATGGTTCGCAAGTGGGTGGAATCATCCGGGGGAGATCGCCCCATGTCCCTCAACTCAGTCATCGCTTAACTCGCAGGCAGCGGCCAACAGCGGGGCCGAGTTGTCGGGCAAGCACGGGCGGGAACCCATTTTCACGGCAGTGGTTCAGCCCAATGATGGGCATGGAAGGCGCCCGAGGACACGGTGCATCCGCGCGCAATCGCACTCTCTCGATCTGTGACTGCTGCGCGCCGGCGATCCAGTGGGGCCCCCTTGGCACGCACAAGTTTGTCCCCAGCCCTGCAGGGCCGCTGGCGTCCGCCCTGTCACAGGGAAAAGGTGCGGGCTGGCCAATAATGTTTCCTGTCTCCCCTCCCTGGTTCCGCTGTGCTTTCCGGGCGCTCTGAAATATCGATCGGGGGCTGTGGGGGGGAGATCACGGAGAGTCTGGGGGTGGGCTCTTTCTTGTCGATCAGCAGATGGGCTGGCATTCATCTCCTGCGTGTGCCGGGGCTAAAAAGGCTCGTGGGTTTTCCGAGAAGCGTCGGCTGTCCCCGGAGATGGGTTCCCGATGCGATGTAATTGGTTGAAAAAAAACAACACACTGTGGTCAAGCTGACAGAGGGCTGGGCGGCCCAAGTTGGGAGCCTTTTGAAAAGTGACAACGTGCTCGCGCGAGTCTGGTTCGAAGTCTTTGCCGACCAGAACTCGAGAGCGCGACGTCGGTGACACCATCTTGAATCATCCTGGCCGTGCGCAGACGACATGTTGTCGGCTCTGCAGTCGGTTGTACATTAAAATAAAGCAACAAGAGGCAATGGCACCAGACAAGAATAAGCCCCCCTGCCCCCCCCCAATGCTGCAGCTTGAGTCGATCCCCATATTTATGGCAGGGGTGGCTGGGATCGGTACCGGGTTTGCGACGCTGCAGCCAGCGTTCCGTGTCACATTGCGAGTCCCGACGGGAGTCCCGACGGGAGTTGGCAGTTGGCGCAACTGCATTCCGAAGGCCAATTCTGAGTTTTCTGGAATCCACATCTATGATCAATATCGCATAAAGACCTTTAAATAGGGGGCACATGCATATATGTATATCAGATATACTTGCTATTCCCACACAATCGTTATCACGGGCTGCACATAAAGTCCCAACAGACCATCTCGGCCCGGAATTGATGCTCTCAATTGTTCCATCTCCATGGGATCAGGCGACCAGGATCAGTAGGCGGAATCGGCCTAGCACGGAAAAAATGGATACAGCATGGGCCATGAACGGCCAGACCTTGATTCCATTGCCTTGTGGTACAGTATTATATGTAATGTATATCATCCATCCATCGGTTGCAAGGCGAGCTCAGCGTCTCCGGTCTCGCCGCTTCTCAAATATACGTTATACGTTCTCGAATGGACTCCATCGTGATGTCAGACAAGAAAAGGCGGGCGCTGGGTAATAATTGAGAGGTCCATGTGGTGGTCAGCCCAAGCATCGAATCGACGTGTGTGACTGGCCTCTTGCCATGGCTCATGGCTGAGAAGAAGTACACTGTTCCCAAGCTCCACAACAGCCAATGCCCGACAATGTGACAAGGAAGGCCGGGCCTACGGATACAAAATCGTTTTCCGGCCAATCTACACTGTCGGAAGACAGGCCGCCGCTCACGTATCTTTTATAGAACCCGAGTATGCACACTAATGCCGGTATTACCGTAGACAGTTCTTCCCGCTGCGGCATATACATTTGGTTGCATTGCTTCCCTTTCTTTTTCTCGAGAGTCATGGCAAAATACAATGCTTGATAACCTGTCTCGGCCCTCTTGGAACTCATGCAACTCACTCCCTGCCGCCCAAGCCCAAAGTGCATGCCCATCAATTATCCGTACCAATCGTTCCTTAAAAAATCACATATGATAAATGGGCTGTTGCGATACAAAAAGCACTGCACTACCCACACCGAGTCTATTCCTAACGCAGTCTCTCTCCACCCACTTCAACAACAACCAAAAGGCAACTTGGCCGAGCGGTCTAAGGCGCCACGTTAAGGAGTTATCCTTGATCCCCTCAACTGATCCAGTTGTTCCGTGGTCCGAAAGGGCGTGAGTTCGAATCTCACAGTTGTCATAACCTTTTGCTTCTTCCTTCCTCCCCTGAACCAGAGGGCATGGGTTCTTTTTGTCTGTGTTCCATGTCTTGATCCAACGGTGTACGAAACGGTTTAAAAGAGGGCTTTAGCATATCGCCATGCCCATCCTCGTCAGTGTCGGTTTGTTCCGGAGTATCTATATTACCATAAGAGTACAAATCTATCAAAAATCACATTGACAAGCACCCTATGCAGACCATCTGATATGTTGCCCTCAAAGCCAGCGGGACGACATGTACTTTTAAAGCTGTCATTACGTTGCCGTCGGGCGCATCCGCCTCAAAAACAGCACCGGCGGTCATCGATATTGACGGGATGCAGAACCAGCCGTATCCAAGCCCGGCCATCGCCGTTGCACGGTCTAACTACACATCTGTGGCCGCTGACAGCAGCTGCAAGACGGGCGCCGTCTGGAGCATCTACAACGGAAGAGATATTGGTGAGTGCTTGTCTGCCTGATTTCATCAATAGAGAAAAGCTGATTATTTGACTCCCAGGTATTCTGACTACCTGGGCATGGGACTTCCACCCCCTCCCGGAATGCAATCAACATCTGAGATCGACTCTAACCGTGACGGCGCGACGGCTGTTCCCCCCTGGGTAAAACGGCGCTCGCCAGTCGCAGCAAGTCCGGGGCCGGGTGGTGGAGACAGGAACAATGATGGTTGGGCCCCTGTTTTCATGCAAGTTTGACTTGCTCATCGACACTTAAAAGTCAAAATGTAAAGAGAATGTCCGGGCCAGCGACCATACAATTTCCAGCTGTTGGTGGACGTGCTGCGTTCTCTGGAGGCATGTTCGGGAGCTTCATTCCCCCGATTGAAGGAGTCTTGCCCATCCTCTAGCTGCGAACTTTCAACCGTGACGTCATGGGGGGCACTTCCATACATACATACAACTACAGGTGGGTCCACTGTACGGATAAGCCGGGGGATTCCAGGGCGGTGGGGCCTAGTGCGTGCTGCCCGAGCCTGCCGAGAGCTTAATCTGGCGTTATCGCTCTCGGCAGGCACAAACACAAACACCACGCTTTCCATGCACAGCAGAGTCAAGTCATCTCGGGGCGGCTGAGCAGTCTCAAGGAGCAAATCGCCACTGACATTCCCTGTTACGAAATGATGCAGTAGCCACCAAGGAAGAAGCATAAACTCGCTTGAAATGGAGACACTCGGCCTCAGGGCGAACGGTTGGTGCATCCGCGGACCCTTGGCCATTGCATCATTGCCGCGGCAGCGTTTAACAATCAATCTTGCTGCACAGATCCCTCATGGGCCTCGATACCGACCGAACTGCTCGTTGCAGAGCTCTCGAGACGCGATGATACCACCGAACGCCCCGCATGCGGCTCCAAGAGCCAGGGATCATACGACACTGGCGTACATGTCTTTGCTCTGTTCCTCATCCTCATTCTCAGCACGTTGGGTACGTCGCGGGGTCTGTTCCAATACCCTGGTGGCTCCATGCGCTGACTGCCATGCTCATCAGCCTGCGCCCTCCCCCTCTTTTCCCAGCGCTTGACGAAAGGCAGCCGACGCCAGCGAACCGTCCTCTTCATCTGCCAACACTTTGGCACCGGCGTCTTGTTGGCCACGGCCTTTGTCCACCTTCTACCGACCGCCTTCACCTCCCTAACCGACCCATGCCTGCCCTATGCGTTTAGCAAGGGTTACCGGCCGCTCGCTGGCCTGATAGCGATGGTGTCGGCACTGGTGGTGGTGGCGTTGGAGTCGTACCTCTCGACCCGCGGCGCGAGCCACTCGCATTCACACGTGTGGGGGGATGAGGACAGCGATGGTGTTGAAACTGGCAATGTGCACGCTGGAGGCTTTACCGGGCGGCATGAGCGCCGGGATCGGGCAGGAAGCATTGCGCTGGACGACTTGGACGCGACCCAAGGCCTGGTGTCAGGGGCGCCCCCGCTGCCAGGGTCGACACAAACGATGCAGCCAGCCAGGGAAGGTCTGCTGAAGAACCGAGGCGATGAGTCCGGGGGAGAGAGCGACAGAGAGTCGATGGATCTCGACCTGAGCTTTGAGGAGCTGAGTCCCAATGGGAACGGCGGCTCGTCGTCGCAACACAAGCACGAGGCTAGCTTGTCAGAACTATCGCACATACCAAGCCCTGAGGAACAGAAGCGGCTGATGCTGCAATGTGTGCTGCTTGAGGCCGGCATCCTATTTCACAGCGTCTTTATCGGCATGGCCCTCTCGGTAGCCACTGGGCCGACGTTTGCCGTTTTCCTAATTGCCATTTCTTTCCATCGTATGCCGTTCCCTGCGCCCCTGCCACGATGCCGGCGGTGACTAACCGCAAAACAGAATCCTTCGAGGGCCTTGCCCTGGGCACCCGAATCGCGGCGCTCCACTTCCCGCGCTCATCCCCCCGGCCATGGCTGATGGTGCTGGCCTTCGGGACCACCACGCCGATCGGCCAGGCCATTGGCCTGTTTGTGCACCGTTTCTACGACCCACAAAGCCAAACGGGCCTGCTCATGGTTGGGGTCATGAACGCCATCTCGAGCGGGCTGCTGTTGTTTGCGGGTTTGGTGCAGCTGCTGGCCGAGGACTTTCTGACCGAGAAGAGCTACAGGACGCTGAGGGGGAAGAGGAGGGTGCATGCGTTTCTTGCCGTGGCGGCGGGTGCTACCCTGATGGCGGCTGTTGGGGCGTTTGCATGAGGGATCAGTTTGGCGGTTTGGATGTGACGAGGTTGGCATCATCTTGGATTTGTATATATCGGCCATGTTTTGTACTTACATAGGGATGCTCGTCATCCTGCCCCCCACGGAAAAGCCTGCCCAGCCGAGAGCGGCGGGGGTCGTGATTGGCAGGCGGGTGTGGAATGGGGCGGTAGAGGAGTCGGGGGGCTGCCAACGGACTCGGAGGCGCTTACTTTGTCGTGTTTGGATGGGACACGGCATCACAAGCTTAATGACTTCTTCCCTGCTCGAATGTTAAGTGCTGGTGAGATAAAGTACGTTGCGTAGGTGGCGTGTTTGCAAGCGGATGGAAGGACAATTCTGGTATTCGACACAGATTGCTAGGAGCACATGTGCATAGTGATGATAATGTCCGGACGGGACTTTGACGAAATCCCAACCTTCCCCCCCACCCCACGACCAACCACCAAGCACCACAACACTCACCTACAGCCAGACACACACGGGTAAAGCCTCCAGACGTAGTAAGCTGAAGCTATCTACAGCCACTCCAGTGCCTCCACCTCCATTCCTTGCAATTGAACCCAGCCTTCTGTTGACTTTCATCGTCGGTGTCTAGTTAGCAACCACGTAACATTCATCGAATTCTGGTATGCCTATCGATGGGTATTCCCAAACTATACGGGCTGGTCTTGTTGCCCCAGTCGCCAGCGCTTTGTTGCTGCCTTGGAGGGACTTTTCCAATGCCGTGGAATGGTGGCATTTCCAATTCCATGAAGTGAGGACCTTTATAAGAGTTGATGATCAAAGTGATGATTGTCTGATTTTCTTGCCTGGTTGGGCCGCTTCAAGCCAGTCGTTACCCTCCTCTGCGCAGCTAATGTTGTAATTGCAAGTATGGAGATATTGCAAAGACGCGCAGGAGGCTGATCTTAATCATGAAACAATGCACAAGCTACCGGCAGCTTGTACGCTGTGGGAAGCAATGAGCAAACAGTGGTGGCATTGCCTATTTTTGTGGTGATGGTGGGGGAAAGGTAGCGGTCTCACCAGAGAGAGCTGTGGAGGCTACCAGCAAGCCCTACAACAGTTATCAAAAGTTGGAGTTCACTTACCTTGATCGTGGGTTGTTAGTTCACGTAGCCTCCAAGAAGATATCGTACAAGGCATGATCAACTCGGTTCCCCCACTGGTCTTGCTGTCAATGTCAAGCACTAAGACCTGGCTACCCTCGCCGATGCCAGCTCAAAGTACTCGAAATATCGTTCTGCCATTGGCTTTGAAATGTGTGCTGGAAAAAGTTGAAACATTGCAACGGCCAAATTTTCGCAAGATACAAAGAAACCACCAACTTCTGTCCTCACTTTGAGGCCCCTGGGTCGCTCTTCAACGGAATGTGCATTTACACGGCCCTGGTGTCTGCCGGGCACCGTAACCCACGTTTCTCATCTTGGTCCCGACCTTTCCATTTTGTTGAACGGCGAACCTCTGAACCTGACCTGCTCTGGACCTCTGATGATCAACAATCAAGACTCAACTTTGTTAGCTCGTCATACAGCATCGTCGGCATAGAACCCTTCTCTCAAGCCGGCAGTGCGGATGCCTGCTCGGGCTTGTTCCAGACTCCCAGAGCGCCTGGCAACTGCCGCCAAGATGCAAGCAACGACACAGTTCTTGACCTTTTGAGACACAGCCTCACAAATCGCGACGGCGCTTGATTCCTTGCCTAAGACATACTATTAACTCACATCTCAGAAACCAGGCAAGAACAGGAACTGGAATTTGTTAGCCCTGCACAGGACCTACGGCTGCACCGTGCCTGTATGGGATGGGGGAACACCAAGGACAATCAATGTCCATCAACGATGGTCCTATTGATAGCCGTTGGACGGTTTCCTTTTGCATGTTTATCAGTGGTCTTTTGCCCAAGGAGAAAGGGGATGGAATGTCTCGATCGCCGTCGACAAGACAGGGGCAGGTGCGTTCATGATTTCCATTACTGCACACAAAACATAACCACACATGAGATCCACCAATTAAAACGGGACCTCTTGCTATCTTAGCTTTTAACGGGGTTTGCGTATGTGCCAGATTGAGTTTTTCAGTCGGGTGCAACAAGCTCGACTTGACCTAGCTTTTGCCACCGATTTCAAGTACAGCCAGCAGACGTAAAGCGGCTAAACAGGAAACCAGAAAACCAGAACACCAGAAAACCAGGAAACCATGGGCCTTGAAACTCTGCCACCCAATGTCGTTGACAAGGACGAGCAAGACAGGGCACTCGCAACGGCCCAGTACTGGGACGAGCAGTATGCCAAA